AGGAATATCGAAATCCATCATAAATTATACTTCGTGATGAAAAGGAAAGGTTAAATGTAATGTAGTAAATATGTATTAATACAGGATTAAAGTTAAAGTATTGACGAAAATCGTCGAAATCACGGTATTTCAAAAACTGTAAAACCAAACTTTGCTTCAGAAATCTTGCTACAACCAAAAAGTTTTTTTTTTAGCGTTTTTGGATTTTGTTGGTGTATTGAAGAATCACTCTTTTTTGTATTTTTCATAATAATAAGTAAAAACAATCATGCCTCGTAGAATTGTCCGATTTTGAAAATTGTATTTTTGTCAACTCTGTTGTTAAATATTCTAATCTTAAACATTAGCGGAAGCGTTAAAAAAAAATTTAATTTTTAGCTTTTTTAACCAACTTTAGTATACCAATATTTTAATTAAAATAACAAATCAGATTTCAATACCCGTATAAAGCTGTAGGACATAGTTGTTTGTCAGTTAAAAAGGAATTGGTATAAACATATTAAATTGATAATTATTTATATTTACACCCAAGTCATACTTGTCTGTAAAAACATGGTCTAGTGAATTCCTATCATTAAGGTGGTCATTAAATTGGTAAAACTAATTTTTAAATTTTACTGAATTTACTTTTTAAAAATCGGCACCGAGCTACTGAATATAAAAATACTCAAGCATGTTTAAATAAAAACTTTTATAATTTATGTTTTTATACAAAATTTTATATTTCAATATTTTTAGGAACAAATTTAATAATTGTATTATTAATTGTAGAAGTTGTAAAACTATAACTACTAATTATTAATAAAAAGATTATTAAGTACCTATATTTTACAATTATTTCTGACTTGCTGTGGTTTATAATTATATTTTATGAATTATCGACGTGATTTATTGTTATATCTCTTTTGTTTTAACTTAACGAACACGTTGGAAAACTATCAGTTAAATTAAAATAATGTTTCAAAATTATTTTAATAAAAGTATTTAATTGTTTTTGATTCACGATTTAGTGTTTGACGATCAAACTCGCCAGTGTTAAAAAAAATTATTATCATTTATTATCTATGGTATGATGGCATTAGGTTCATATTCGCCGTGATGTTCAAAGAAAATGGACGAAAACGCTTCTATTTTAATTGGTTCCCGCTAAAATGTGCTGTTTAAAAAATATGATTCCAACACAACTTTTATGCGTCGTTTGATAAAAATCTTAAACAGAAATAGTACATGCAAATCATAAAATTAAAGTAGTTCACCGGGTGATTAAAATATATTGCTGTACATTTATCAATACATGAAGTGTTACGTTTTTGTGCACATAATACTGTAATGTTTAATATATTGTTATCATCCAACCATTAGTTACTTATATATTTTTAGGTCCAAGATTACGTCACGGATTATGCATATCATGTAGTTTGTTTTATCATGGTTTAGTCTTAAATACTGGAAGTTATAATGTAGTTAATGCAATTTTAATTCGTTAAAATAAAAACCATAAGTATAATATTATACTCAGTGTTTGTACATTTTTAATTATGGCGAGTTATAATATTAAAATTTAATTATGTCACTGGTACAATGCAAATTATAAAGAAAATAAATATTTATATATTAATTTATCTGATCAATTCAATAGAATTCCTCGCGACCAAACCCGAATTTAAGACGCGACCGATGTAAAAAGTCTTTTTAATTTTTCCACCACGTAACAGACACCACAGAAATCATAAGGAGTTTTAGTACTAATCATTATTTTATTAATAATAATAATATTATGATTGTAAAATTCCGTTGCGATTTTGTAAAAAAACGTTCTTAGTGTAATATTATTTCGTGCCCTTAAATAGCCGTGTTATCAGTGAAATGTCATAGAGGACCGATGTTACTGTTACTGTAAATAATAATATTTTGCTGAAATTGTTTTTTTAATAAAATACAATTTGTGGTACTAATTTTGATGATTTTTGTTAATATTATAAAACTACATTACTGTATTATTTATTAATGTAATACTGATCCACAATTCACAGTTGAGTTAGTCCATGCAAATATACTTTATTAAATAAATTAAGTAAACGCTACATTGTATAAATGTTACTAATTGTTTAAAACAAGTTTGAACAGGTCTTGTTCTTTAAGCGATAATTTAAAAACTAACGTTCCGCGAAATTGAAAAATCTGAAATTCAGAAAATTATCTTAAAAATTATCGCAGAGGCGAAACCCGTGAAAGTTGAATTTTAAATCAGGCCAGCCTAAGGTTTTTTAGTCTATAACTAAAATACTAAATTGTCCACACAATTACTATGATGTTTAAAATGTAATTTGTTCACATGGCTAGGCTGGCGAAATGGTTTTATGAAAATTGACTATTACATTCAAAATTATATTACACATATAAATTCAAACACACCAATATAGTTTTTACTTAGTCAATAAAATTGTGAGTAGTGCAGTGAACCGAACCTGACAGTGCAGTATAATATTATTATATGACGGTAAGATACTTTCTGTTGGCGACTCTTTAATAGACCCGGATTGATGGGGGGAGCACATTTTTGGAGCCCATAAAAAATAGGGGCCCACAAAGACCATAATATGAGTTGTATAAAATATTTGAAAACCTTTTTTTGCTCATTAGTTAGATTTAAACAGGCAATACGTTGTTTCAAAAGTATACAAATTAAGCGAGGATCTGTTTTTTTTTTTTTTTGCTAATTTGTTACATTTTAATGCAATAGTAAGGTCTCTTCACTAATATTATACCGAGCTTGGTCTTTAGTAAATAAAATATTTGAAAAAATAACACAATAATTGATAAAAGTAAAAGTATTGCTTTATTCCTTACACGTACTCACCCGTGGATCGTACATACGTAATGAACGATTCTATTGGTCGCTCTGCCGTTCTATAAAATAATATTAAAATAGTTGGACTCATTTGAGTAAGTCTGAGGAAATTCTGAGTTGCGCAAGTACCTACGCCCGTACATACACGCAAGATTCGTGGGTGTGGCCCCACATAGATAAAGTGGCGGAGCTGGGCGTAGAACGCGCGTTTCACAATCTCAAAGCGGTTCTTCCCAAACCTACGTAGTTTTATTGCCCCTTTGCGATAGTGACTATATGTGTATAATCATTCTTGGAAACGGTGATCGACTTTCAAACAAAAACAAAATACTTTAGTTTTGTGCATGTATACATAAACGATTATTGCATATAATATTATATAAACAAGGTTAATAAAATAAGAAGTTACGAAGTACCTAACTACGCAGGTGTTTTTGCCGAGAAAAAGTAGTAATCCAGATTACTACAGTAGATTCAAATTTGTAAAACGGAAAATACCGAAACCCGAGATTTTTTGTACGTAATAAATTTCGATTTTCCAAATAGTTACACGATTTTGTCGGTCATTTTATGGCAATTATAACTGTAAGCTAAGACTGCTCGAATTGGAAAAATAAAAAAAGATGTCAGCTATATGAAACTTAAAAATAACTAAACAAATTTCGTTTATTATTGCAATTTATAAACTCAACCACTTACACCACCGTTCAAACATTATTCAACAATTGATAATTTACAAAAATACAATCATGTCTGCTTGGCTAAATTTTTGTTTACGTATTTTTTATTTTTTAAAGAATCGTGTGTTATTTCCATAAAAAAAAAAAAAAAATGATAATTTTTAATTCTAGGTTACATTATTTGTATTTATTATTATAACACATCGGGGAAAAAGTACCACAATAGAGTATATTCTGTGAGTGCATTACATAATTATATTATATTATTATAACTGAACAATAAACATTAAATCCTAAAAATATAATATACACATTGTATTTTTTTCTTCTTTTAAAATATCATTATTTAAAAAATAAAAAAAAAAAAAATAAGAAAATAAAATAATAGATGAGCTCCGAACCCCTGTGATCAACCCTCGAATCGAGCAGAATAATAATTATTGTTTTATCACGTTTTAGAAGACGTTTCTAAAACCCTATTATAAAAAATTGGCGTTTAACTAGATTTATTTTCATCTATCGTCTGAAAAATCTTTCAGAAGAAAAGCAACACGTTGATTCGTACACTATTATTTGTCTGTATTTGTGACAGTTTGACATGTATTCGTATACATAGTAAGTGTTTTACATGTAATTTTGTAATGTTATTTTCGCTGCGGTAAATTAAATATTTATACCAGTTAATAATGAATTCGTCCGCAAGAATGTTTCGTATTCGGATTATTTATTTACACGGTACCTCAGAAACTAGATAATAAGATAATCATAATAATAATAATAATTGTATATTATAATATTGTCGACCAGTCGCGATGTTTTTTCTAAGGGAGTAGATATAAAAAAAATGCCATCCACAGACCCGTGGGTGTATGTATGTCCTCTTGCGGTTTGTGTACTACAAATACTATTTTAGCTAATAGTTAACGACTTTATGATATTAGATAGGACATGAACATTTTAAGTAGAAAAATATCAGTAAAATACAATTTTATCAAGAATCATTAGTTATTTTTATTTTAACTTGTAAATTTATACCTGTACATGATTACACTATAGTGGTGTAGTATGTATACATAAAAGTCACGTAGTGGATCTATCACCAGATTCGCTACCCAGAAAAACCTCGCGAGTCGATTTTAACAATTTTTACCGGAAAACTACAAGAAAACTGTACAAAAATGATCAAAAGCAATACGTTCGTTGCTTTCGACTCGCGGGGTTTTGCGGTGTATCTGTGGCGGTACAAGAAATCGCGAGTAATACCTACTAGAAAAACTAAACGAATCAGCAGACTCGTCTGTACACGTAGAAAAAAAAAATACGATAAACGATTGTCAACAGTATTCTCGTCGTCATTATGTTAATATTTTTCTGTAATATTATAGCGATCATATCGATAATATTATTAGTTTTTTTTTTTTTTTTTATTATTATTTTTGTAATTATTTGTATAATATAATATGTAAGCGTACCACGATGGATCTTCTCGCGTGATGATCGGAACCACGGCGTGCAGCGACCGGACGGCCGAAAAGTGTCAGCGGCGTTGGACCCAAAAAACGATGACGCCGACGAGAAAATACCGAGGAAAATAAACTAAAAAAAAAAAAATAATGAAATGAGGGCTCAATGAAAAACAAAAATCACTGGGCGGTAGTGAATATACGTGCGTATGCGTACCTGGTGTATAACACGTATTTTACAATAACCGTTTAAAAACGTTACTGCGATTGCATATCCGCACGACGGAATTATGGTCGAAACCACGGTACACACTGTAAAATTACTGTCGTCGTAAACGCGGCGGCGGTCGTTGGGCTCTGGACGGGAGCGCGGACTCGCACGGATCCGTCGGTTGCTGTCCTGCGGGCGACTCGTGCGGACGACTACGGAGGCGCTCGACCGGCCGGCGCGCGCCTTTTATAGACGCGGTGTCGTCGCGTTATCATTATTATTATTATTATTATTATTATTATTATTATCATTACTTTTGTTTTCGGTTCCGTTTTTTTCCCCGTCGTTTTCCGCCGTATTACACTTTTCTCTCCCCGTTATTTTGTCGTTTCGTATCACTCGCGCGCGCGCGTAAAACACCTTATATTATAACACTGTTATACATGTATAATATAATGTTATGAAATAGTGTCTGCGTCGTGATATCGTAATCGCCGCTCGGATCTGGTGGCGTTCGCTACAAGGATTATGGGTCACGGATTCGAACTATTGCCGAGCGTGGGCTTCACATTTGTTTTGCGCACCGCATACTACAAATATGAATTTTTACATTGCTATACATATATGTTTTGCATTTACGAAGTATTTTCGATTTTTGGCGCTATGTTTCAACAGGTGCTATTTTTAATAATGGATTTTTATATCCACAAGAAAAATACTTACGTTCGCTGTTTGATATTCTAATCTGTGTTCAAGTAGCTGTTATACGGCCAATACGGCGTATTGACCCGTCGAACCGTTTACATTCATGACTTTTTATAAATTGTATTTATATGTATTTCAAAAAATAAATAAATACCTTTTCTTTTTTGACATTTTTAATCTTTTCGTGGAATATATTATAGCGTTTATTTTAAGATTTGTTGGATCATATTATAGCTCATATTTCAGTTATTTTCAGCGCTATAAAATCCGAGCCTTGGTTATAATCATCGTGTGCTCGATACAGTAGCAAAAAAAAAAAAAAAATAACAAAAAATTCGTAAGGTTATAATACAGAAAAATTTTTATTTAATTTATACGTCTGTATATGCAACGACGAGTCATAGTTAACGAAAAACGATTCTGAGTGGAGTTTGGTTACACGCGTTATATTTGGAAATGTCGTGGTTTTCACGATTTGTATCAAACTTTGTATTTTAAATGATCATAAAAACAAACAAAAATTCGTGACTATGGATTTTAAATATTTTTATGTTATCATATTATGAACAACCTGTGATGAATATTCGGGTCTCTACGATTATTTTTAATTGAATTACAACAAAAAACTAATATAATCTGTTATCACGTACATTTTTCCATTATAAAGGTGGCTACAAGAAATATAAAGTATGAACTTTTCAATGCACCAACTAGATAAAATTTTCTATAGAAAAGACTTTTTGTTGTTTTTAGATTGAAGCGATATTTCTGGTAGAAAAATTGTTAATAGACAAGAAAAAAAAAATACACACATCTTTTTAAAACCAATACATTACTCGCTACGCCCAGAATGTAAAATTGTGTAATACATATCCAGAGAAGCTTGTAAAGGTAAATATTATACTCCTATTCCTAAAAAAGATAAGTACATCGTAATATATTTTATCGTGGGTAGCTTAAAATATATCGCGGGAATTGACTAGCTCACATCAAAAAAATGTTATCCACAGCAAACAATCTATTGTATACCTAATACAAGTTTTTGAAAAAACTCTTTTACTTTATATTTATATTTTTAGTGAAGTGAATAGTGATAGAGTGAACTTGATTTTGTGTGACAAGCCATACAACATTATGTAACAGATACAGCTGGTGGTCAAAATAAATTCTATTTTCGTTAAATTATAACAAAAAAACCTCGGCGCTTAATATTTGGTATTCGCTGACTGATTCAGCTTAATTTACTTAATTGAGCCTGCCAACGGGAACAGAACTAATCAATTCAAGAAGATGAAACTTCGAAAATCACAACAGAATCATGATCACCACAGTTTGAAGATGTAGCACAATTCAAATGACAGTAATTGCAATAAAATTGAAAACTGTAAATTTTATTACAACTTCGCTATCAAAATTTAATTATATTTTTGTTAGTAACGTATTTTATTTAATGTAATACCTATATATATATACTAGCTGACCCGTCAATTCTTTGCTATATAATAGTGTAATGTGTGAATAATAGTAATAATAATAATAGTCTTGTCCGTGACAACCAAAGTGTCATCCCTGTTACCACGGTAAACCATGAATAAACAAAAATATATAAATAAACGATCAGATATTCGTATAAGCAATATCTGAAAACCTATAATTATTGCAATTTTCCTATAGATCTCTAATATTATTGAAAATAAAATACAGCCCATGTTATTCACTGATGATGTAGCTTTTTATAGGGGAAAGAAGTTTTAAAATCGGTCAAGTAGTTTTTGAGTTTATCCGTTATAAATACCCAAACAAACCTTTTCTCTTTATAATTATTAAGTATAGATATGATGCATAGTTTATTTATGATATTTTCTCTTTGTATTGGTGACATTATATGTTAAAAATTAACGCAGCACTACCAGGGACGGATCCACGGGCGGTCCAGGCTCCTCGGACATATTCTTCTCCGAATTTCTTTTTATAATTCTATAGATCCTGATATTACTATATTAAAATCATTGATATCAATGATAAAATAATATACATAATGCATTTTATTATATTTTAATTGTAATAAAATTATTGGGTCACTCCCAGATCTTTGCTCTTGATCCGATGCCTGAGCACTACCCATTTCTATGAATGATTTACTGTACATGTATAATCAATTTGAAAATATATTTTTGAATTCGTTTTAAGAAATTTAGGAACTGTGGGGGGGGGGAGGAAGTGCGACCTTCAGATCGCTGGTCAGAATAGCATAGCGTCCTATGCGTTCCATTAAAAAAAAAAAAAAATTAATAATAATTTTAACAATAAGTAATAGTAGAAGGCTCCTACGTTAAAATATATGTAAAATTTTGCTCTCCCACGTATACACACTCACCGAGTCGAGTTGCAAGGCTTTTATATTATAAAATTATGCCGAAAGCTGTAACGACAACAATAATAATAATATTAAAAATACCAGCAAAACAAGCGGTAAATCATATCGTTCGACTAATTAACTGCTTACATAGCGTTCGTTGTACGGCCGACGACGACGCTTCGTATGACTCGACCGAAAACCGAGTCTCGAAACTGTAGGCATGAACGCGTTCGGTTTCCCCGGCATCGAGTATTTTTCTGACATTTTGCACTGCACTGTTTTAAAAATACCGTCACGGCCCCGTGATCCTTGTCTGCACGTATCACGTATCTATTATTATTACCCTCGTCTCCGACGTAATCCACCTCCGTTTTATAAAATTACGGAAGTCTTAAATTATAATATTATTATTACATCGTCGTAAACAATATAATATTTAAAGATACTGTTTTAAAGGGGTACTTATAAAATCTTAGAACAAACATGTCTGGATTGTATAATTCGAGAACGTGCAAATCCGGAAAGTACAAATATGTAAACCAGAGTTTTACGCATATCAAAATTTATTAAGCAAAAACCTTAAATTTAAAAACGTAGAAACGTACAAATCTGGAATACAGATTTGTATTTTCTAGACTTGTATATTCCACCAACCCAAAATTTGTATCCCAATAGCTACAATAATGCCACATGGGTTCTGGCGCCACTGGACAAAATGACTAACAATAGATTTAATATAATAACAGATATCGTGAAATTAAGTAAAAATTAAGAATTGTAATCATGAGGATTTGAAAGTGCGGTGATTTTCCTTGTTTTCCACGTGTGTAGCATACGAGATTTATAGGATTATAAATTATGAGAGAATATTATTCTAAAAACGCACGTTTATATGTGTAGCCTTAAAAAAAATATTTTATAGAGAATCTAAAAAAAGAGTATGATAAAACCGATATTAATAAAAAAACACACAACGTTTCAATTTGTTTTTACCGAAATCCATAGCAAATAATAATGTCTGTGTTTAATGTCATAAACACGATAAGCTATGGTAAACCGACAAAAACAAATACTGAAATAAAAATATATACACCGTTCGGAATTTAATCGGTATAAAGAGATGATTTTTTTATTATTTATATCCGTTTAGGCGTACGCGTAAAAAAAAAAAAATATATATAATTATTATAATTTTTCTGTCAAACACGTCTGTAGTTCAAAAAAAAAAAAACTGTAATAATAAGTTTATACTTGAAAAAAATGTATTACATTACATTACGAGTAGCATTTTCGGTGCAGTTAACGTGTTGTTAATTAGTAACGTTTCGGTTAAAGACACGGAGGAAAAACCGGTTCTTTGAACTGTGTTTATAGTCGTTTTGAATATCGAAATTATACACGGGTTTGACCATTTTGGTTTCAAATGTCTGTGTAATATCCGTGCTATATTATGTTGTATTAACTAGTTATATAAATTTATAATGAAGTTTATATTTGGTTGTCGTCGTAAATCGACAACAGACGGACGTACGGATCAGCTATGATAAATTAATCAAACCTACCACAACCGATGGCATTGATCAGATTTGTGATTTTCTAATCGTACATCATTGTTTATAATTTATAAATGTCGATTCTACCCGCTATACGAAATAATAATAATAATAAAAAAATAAGACGGCGTTAAAAATAGGCAAATTTGATGCATAAGTGTGCATAAAACATTGTACACAAAAATGTTATTAGTTCCATTGGAAATATTTGTAAATCAAATAATAAAAAAGGTAAATATTAAAATATAAATTATAAATTATAATAAAACCGATTCTTTTTTTTTTTAAATTTAAAATATTATATAAATTAAGGAATTTATATAAGACCATAAAATATAATTTTTTTAGCACAGAATGGAAATAATAAAACAAACATAAATTGAAAAAAATTTTAATAGAACTTCTGTACGCGTCACTATAGACCGAAATTTGTTAAAATTACTGTGGGGTTGAGTTATTTATAGTAATTGTCCCTACACCAAAAATTCTCACTTCTCTTGCAATTTTTAATTGCATTCTGGGTAAAAACTACAATTAAAATTATTATTTAAACAAGAAATACTTACTAGG